TTCTTGAAATTTATACAGACTGTGTTCTTATTGCATTTATTTGATGATAAAAATAAAATATGTTAAAATTGTTCGTTGCATTACGTGTGATCGTTATTTTCAGTTTACTGACTTTTTCAGCTGTTTGAAAACCCAGTAAAAAATTACTGACCCCAGTAAAATAATCTCTGTGTGTAACATCAAAATGTGTCACTTCATGGGTATATTTTTACAATGAGCCCTCCCCCTGAGGGATCCGCCTCTCCAAAAATAGTCTGATAACTTAACTAAAAGTCCTCTAAATGTACTTGGCAAAATATTTAAAATTTCATAAATCTTTTCACATTTTGTTAAAATAAGGAAATTTAATATGCGGTAAAATTGACCCCAGGGTACAGACAACGTCAATATTTCAATATTTTTTTCAAGATTTTTGGAAAAAAAAAATCATAGTCATCTAGTATTACAGAGTTCCGGTGTATCGAAATAGTAAAATCCACAAATAAAAAAGTTTCAGCCTTTCAAAGTGGCCTGGGGTCAAATTGACCCCAAGGTACAGACAAAGGGCTATGTGCTTGTAAACATTGATTGATCGAAGTTGTTGCTTTAAGGTATCATACGTTACCATTGGCATAACTAAGGGGAGGGCTAGGAGAGGCTACATCTCTCCTAGGATTAATGTAGCCGCTCTAGAATTGTTGCAATTATTTCATTTTCCATGCACATCAAAATTGATCGCTAATTGCCTAATAGATAAATTAGAAAAATAAATTTAGCCCCCCTAAGATTTTTTCTTAGTTATGCCAATGTTCTTTAACATCGAGTCCGCACACTGACCTACACACTTAGAAATTATCGCCATCTTCGGTAATGTATACCAAAATCTCAACAGTGAAACTGTTCAGAAAAAAATAGGCAGTTCAATTTAATCTTTCAGTACTCGCGCCAACTTTTGTAACACAAAACTGACGAATCAATCATTAAACCCAATGCGTTTAATTTTCCAGGCTCATTTGCCGTAGCTTTGCGGAGCCGATATTCATTGTTTAGATCACAACATTACTAGAAACTAACGTTAGTAAAACGGAGGCCGATTACTCGTGGCTATCTCGAGGTTAGTGGTAACAAATTGTAACAAATGGATGACAGGGTAGGCATTGAGAACAGAAGTTTTAGAGAGCAATGTGCTCTTGATCTCAAACAAAGCGACATACTAATGAAAGAGACAAACATAGGTGTACACCGATGGGGAGGTAACAACTTGGAAGAACACAAAATGACACTAACTACTAAATCCTCAGATCTATTCGTTTTAAAAACATATAAATTAAATTAGAAAATCATTCAACCTTCTCCAATTTGCTTGAAACTATGCATTATTGTTTGTTATGTAGCATTTCCAGCTCAAAACGCTAAAAAAAAATCAGTTCTGCTTTGAGCCCTTCTTATTTGTATGAAACATTACTCATATGTTCGGTGCTACCAATGCACTGTGGGAAAAAAGCTACATAAAAGGAGCAAAATTCATTATCTCTGAACAGCGCTGATTTAACCTTTGCAAATATAATCATTCATATGAGAAAACGTCTCAGAAATCCAGTGGAAATAGTTTCGTCCTGTACAAAATAGAGAAAGTTGGGGTTTTTGGAACATTTTACTCAAATTTCTTAAAATTTTGTATAATGGACTTAAAAAAATGCCTCGTTGTGGTTAATATACGTTCTGAAATATTGTCACTCTTGTAGAAAAACGTCTAGAGAATCTATTAAAAATGGTTTCATACATCACCAGCCTGTGCAGACTATGCATTTTAGTCAATTTTACCCCTATTATCTTAATTTCGATATTTTTTTAAAGACAGTTATCAGTGATAATAAAACCTGTCCAATCATAGTCCTTCTTGAAGGAAAACACCTTAGGGATCCAAAAAATTACGATTTAGATTACATCGAAAGGAAATAATAGCGATTTTAATAGCTTTTGCAAACAATTTTTTTTCTCGATGATTTTTAGAAATTCAAGGCACGCCCACGCGAACCAACTCCGCTAATCCAGCAACAAATTTGTCAGATTAGCGGATACTGTAATTTAAAACAAATTTCATTTAATTTCCTTTGTTTGCATCAAACCATTCAGTGGGATGTGAACGTCAAAACTTTTTATTTTTACTTTAAATGATCTTTATTTCTTGTATTTGTGTGGTTAACATATTCGAATTCACAAATGGCACAGATGCGTCTTTCAACTTTAGTGCTTGTTCGCACAGTATGCGTGAGGAGCCAATTCACCGTACCTGTCTTTTGCATCATGGCTACATCGACGAATTTCACCACCTAGGCAGATTGGATCCTGCACTGAACCGAAACCGATGATGTGTCATCACATCGTGTCATCAATGACTTCCGATGATTCAGTCAATATAAAAACCTAAGAAACCCGTCTAGGGCGACTCTTTTTGATTATACCGACCAGCAGATTAGCATCAAGCGAGGAATAGTGGAACTACTTACAGTGAAGATTAAAAATTGTGAATTATATACGCTAATAAGAAGTTAAATAAATTAAGAGTTTAATTAGTAGCTTAAAGCCAAGTTAGTGAAATAAAAAGAAACTATTGGTGATTAATAAATCGTATGTGGACTAGAATTACTTACCTGTGATGAAGATCATACCTGAAAGGGAAGAATATACTTACCTGTGAATTGTAACACGAACCTGAAAGAAAATGATTATACCCGATTACCTCCCGCCTTTCTGAGTATCGGAACGTCGAACTCCGTTCATCAACGAACCGCCTGCCAGAACCGCCATCTTGCTTCTGGAACATTCTGGAGAGGTTGTCACGTGGTATTCGTCAATCACCGTTTGGATTACGCCATCTTGGGCATTGCTGTCCCGCCAGTGTAGTTGGCATTGATATACTACAAGGCATTAAACTGCCTATATCAGACCATGACTTCAAACGAACGCCGCATTCGATACCTCAAGCTGCGACTACGCAGTATTTCGTCGTCGTTTACACTCATCAAGCAATTCGTGGACAAGTACGATGAGCAGGAAGATGAGACTGAGGTTCCAATGCGCCTTGAAAACCTTGTTACGCTGTGGGCTGAATTCAACAAAGTACAGATCGAGTTGGAGTCGCTGGATGATGAAACCTTTGAGGAGCATCTGAAGCAGAGAACGGAAATGGAATGCCAGTACTATCGCGTGAAAGGGTTCTTGCTCGCCGTGAATAAATCACCTTCACCGTCCCTAAGGTCCCCGGGTACTTCAAACGCTTTTGTCTCTGCTTCGACATCGCACTTGCGGTTGCCTGATGTGAAGCTTCCCGTATTCAGTGGAAGCCTAGAGAACTGGCTCAACTTCCACGATCTTTATCTTTCGCTAGTTCATTCCTCGCAAGACATTTCAAATATTCAAAAATTCTACTATCTCCGTTCATCGCTTTCCGGAGAGGCCCTCAAGTTGGTACAGACAATACCTATCAGTGCCGTCAACTATCCAGTCGCATGGAATCTGCTGGTTGAACACTATCAGAACACTAATCGTCTGAAGGCTTCGTATGTAGATGCGCTTTTTGAATTTCCCGCCATCAAACGAGAATCGGCATCCGAGTTGCACTCTCTCGTCGAGAAGTTCGAGGCCAACGTTCGTGTTCTACAACAGTTAGGGGAACAAACTGACTCTTGGGATATCCAGCTAATACGCATGCTGAGTAGCCGTCTTGATCCGATAACCCGGAGGGATTGGGAGGAACATTCGTCCGAACTCGAGGAAGTCTCGTTCCAACACCTAACCGCTTTCATCCAGAGAAGGGTCACCGTGCTTCAAACCATCAACCACAAAAGTCCCGAGATTGCTCCGCCACTTGTGCCTAAGAAACAACCCACAATACGTCCGTTCACCAGTCATGGGGCTTCCCAGTTTAGCGCTAGAAAATGCATTCTTTGTACCGAGCAACATCCGCTGTACATGTGTTCGACATTCTCTAAGATGGGCTTGGAGGATAAAGAAAAGGAGATTCGACGTCACCAGCTTTGCAGAAACTGTCTGCGCAAAGGACATATGTGTAGGGATTGCCCGTCAAATAGCACCTGTCGTCGATGTAAGGGTCGTCACCACACGCAGCTTTGCGGGACTGAACCATCGAGTGCGCCAACCCAGAAAGTACACGAAAGCACACCCGGGAAGCCAACGCCCACGCCTTCTACTAGTGAACAACCCACTACATCAGTTTCTGCAGCTCAACTGCAACCGACAAGCTATGCCTCATCTGGACAAAAACGAGCCAACATAATACTAGCTACAGCCGTCATCATCGTAGTCGATAACAACAACCAGTCACACGTAGCCAGAGCTCTGCTGGATTCAGGGAGCGAATGCTGTTTCGCTTCGGAGTCATTTTCTCAACTGCTGAAGGTGCATCGCAAGAAGGTTTCCATCCCAATTGCGGGTATCGGCTACTCTACTACGCAATCACGATCGAAATTCTCCACCATGATACGTTCTCGAATCAGCGACTATTCTACTACGGCTGAGTTTCTCGTACTCCCTAAAGTAACCGCCGATTTACCTGCAACGCCGGTGGACATTTCGTCTTGGAAAATTCCACCTGGGGTTCAATTAGCCGACCCATCGTTCTTTACCACCAGCCCGATCGATCTCGTTCTCGGTGCGGAAATCTTTTTTGATCTTTTTAAGACTCCTGGTCAAATCCCACTCGGAGACAACTTACCAACCCTCGTAAATTCTGTCCTAGGCTGGGTGGTATCAGGTCGATCAAACCATTGCCAACCACCCACGACAATCACCGCAAATGTAGCTGCCGTCGACGATTTGCATCAACTCATGGAACGTTTCTGGAGTATTGAAGAGGATGACACTTCTCCTTGTTATTCAGTAGAGGAAGCGGCCTGTGAAGCTCACTTTCGTCAAACTGTTACCCGCTCACCTGAAGGCAGATACGTTGTTCGATTACCTGTGAAGGAGGATATTCTAGCAAATCTCGGTGACAACCGTCACACCGCTATCCGTCGCTTCCGGCTAGTGGAATCCAGGCTGCAACGAAACCCAACTTTGTGTAAACAATATTCAGATTTTATGAAGGAGTACCACGAGCTAGGACACATGAAACGTGTATCGCCCAATGAAGACTCATCCACCCGCACTTACCACCTTCCACATCACGCCGTAGTACGTGAGGAGAGCACAACGACTAAAGTGAGAGTCGTTTTTGACGCATCATGCAAAACCAGCATTTTTATAAAGTATGTGTTACATATTTTACAAAAAAAAATAAAAAGCCATTCTCGTGTTTTTCGCCTTTTTGAAAAAGCACTCAAACCATCACTTATGAAATGTTATTGTGTTCTTATTGCTTATGAAGTTTTCTGATTATATACTCATTCAAAGTTTCATATTTAAAGAACTAAATTGTTTGAGTTTCACTCATTTTTTTTTCTACATTCATCGAGCATTATCAAAGTAACCCCAAATCAAAATACTGAAGTTCGGTCACAAAACTAAAAAAATAGTGCAAATGCTTTAATTTTCGTTCAACATATTACTTACAAATTAACTCTTGGATCTTCAGTACTTGATTTAAAAATATAAAATTTGAAAAACATTCATTGCTGTAAAAAATATTTAGAATATACTTTAAAAAACTATCAATGTTACCCTGTTTTACGGTATCAGGATCTTGCAATGATTCTAAATTCCCGAATTTATATTTTTCCTGCGTCCCAGATCATGAATTTATTTGTTAGTCTGAATTTACTTGGAACTCTTCACAGGATATCTTCTTTTTTTTTAGTTCATTTTGAATGATCCTAGAATTCCATCATATTTCTTTTGTATATTCCCCTAAATTAATCTTGAAAATATCTAAACTTTTCCAGTAACATTCTTACAGTTCTTAGCATTACCTCTTGTAATCTCTTATAAATCACTCTCTAATTCCCCAACTCCCTCAAACTGGCAAAAAATGGCTTAATTTTGTGTCCATTTTCTCTATGCAATTCTTAAAATATTCTTAACAATTTCCTTGGTACACTCTTCAGAATGACCGTCACACTCTTCTCAGACTTATCCGATAATTGCCTTTGAACTGCTTTGAAGGTAAGGTCAGAATTGTTTTGAAATCCTTTCCAGTATTACCTAAGCACCCAAGTACTTTGCAAAAATGGTTTTCAAAGTCTCCCAGAAATTGCGCTTAAAATTTTTATTAAAATTAATCTCCATAGAAACATTGGACAGAGTTCCTTTGAAATTATTCTCACGATTCGTATTACCATACTCCTTAAGTTTCATCATAAGAATTTTCTATGATTTACCTTCCGGATTGTATTTCCTTTATTGACAAAATCTCTATGCAATTGTCATCAGAGTTGACAAGACAATTGACACCTTCTTCAACCAGAAGTGATAAAACTGTTGGTCCCGGCCCATGTGTGTTTGAATGGGTGCGATATCCTACGCATGTGTGGAAGCTGCCTTCCTGCACATTCGATTGCCGTCAATCGATGGCAATCGATGTTCTTCGGTGATTGGCACTAGATTGCGGAACAGAGACCGACGTTAAATAAAGGAAAAATAAAAAAAAAACAACCAGAAGTTGCACAGACTGAATATTTTACACTAGGCAATGGACAACACACAACACCAATTAGACCAGTAGGGAAATTCTCAGGTTGCCAAAATTTGCACCGGGAATCGAACCCTCACTTCGTGGCACTCACAATACGCCCAAATGATATTGACGCCGCACGACCCCGAAGCCCACAAAGATGAATGTAATTCTACTCAGAAGTAGCTTGAAATTCTCCTTTGATTTCATAAAGAATTCGCCTCACCCGTAACTGTGAACTATTTTCAGAATTACCTTAAAATTCCAATAGTGTCCAACGTTGATGGCCTTTAATAATTTATGTAGCAAGTTTGGCTTTTTTATTATTTTTTTATTAGAGTTGTAATCAATTGCAGTGATATTTTTAAAGCAACATGTTTAAACAATCTGGAAAATCTGGAACATATTTAAAAAAAAATCTGGAAATATACGAGGTCTGTCTGTGTATCTAGCAAGCCGACTAAGAATCTGGAAAATCCAGATAAATCTGGAATACTGGTAACGCTGTCCACAAGCATCGCTTTGTGATGTCAAATTTTTTCACTTTTTGATACACTGATTCGTTCACACTGCCACTTCTGTTATGTGGTAGGGTGGTTCTCGCAGTGAATTCTCTTCTGGAGACATTCCTTCTTATAAAGTTGCCCATTCATAGTGCAATGCATCCATTATACTTGGTCAGTTCTTGCTCGTACAGCTTTCTTGCACGGTTTTTGGCAACCAGGCTTTGTTTCAGTGTCCTGTTGGGATGTTTGCTGGCATGGTGCGACCGAAAACCTTCTCGCATACAGATTAGCTCATTTTTACTGTGCGCCGCACTGAACCTTTTCGTCAAATCACGTCTGGATATCCCAGCATTCTTTTGGACTGCAATAATGATCTTCGCTCGTAATTTCCGGTCTTATTTTCGAGATCGGTCGAGTTAACAGTATTCAAAATGGAAAAATGTAATCAATAAGTTTTCATCTATTCAAAATAATATATAGCGATATCGATTTGTAAATTCAATTCGCTGGTAGATTAATATCAGTAAATGTTGTTAAATATATCTGTAAAATCATAAATATTCATAAAGAAAACAGCATCCTGATTGACCCGTAAGAAAAAAATTGAAGATTTCAGTGATAAATTTTATATGTTTTAATTTTGTGTTTAATTATATTTTTTAGAAACGTCAAAATAATATCCAAATATGAATCACACCGAAATAAAAAAATATCATATCAAAATATCAACATGATTTCAGAAAATTAATATATAAAATCTTGTACGTAGAGCCTTGGGTGCATCAATGAATGTAACAAAAACACCACTCAGGTAGCAGCAGTACATGATTTTTAGATCTTCAATATTTTGAAACGTAACGATTATCACCATCACCATCACCAGCTCGAAAATAAAGCCACCCATCATCCAAGACCCAGAACTTACCTTCCACCATTATGTGAACAGAGAATCCAAGTTACACACCGCGAGTAAAACCGACATATCATGGTGAAAAAGCGAGCAGCAGCAGTAGGTCGACATTACTCGACAACCGAAAGCAAATCGACCAACTAAACTCTCCCTGGCTGATGGTGAATTCAATTCGACATCAACAGCCAGGCAAACGAAGAGACGCCTATGTGTATGATGTTGAAGCAGAGTTTCACCACTTTGACGGCAGGAGCTCAGCAAAAGCATGGCCCTAATTAAATTCAAAAAGAGGAGGAATATCTGAGGCAAGACATGTATCATACAAAAAATGTAAAACACAATAAAATAAAGGTGTTGGGTTGAATAATATGAACTGAATAAGCATTAAGTAATTGCTGCGCTTTGAGGAAAACGACAATTGAATCACATTGAATCCACTCTCAAGATGATACAGATTTTTTCGAACTCGTTTACCCCAGACCAGCGAACACACACAGTCAGTGTGAGTCACTGCGAAGGTGGATCGTCGGCGAGCAGAGGCGTTTTGCATAAATGCGATATGTTGCTGCATTTGTTTAGGCTTTTGCCGCCCAGACGCCATTCATTAGCCGCACAGTGACGATGCAAATTCGCGGGAAAAGAACTGGTGTGTCTCTGTCATATTAAGCGTGAGTCAAGCTGACGAGGAATGAAGTTCCGTTGCCGTTGATCTAATAAAACGCGTTTGTTTTTTGCCAAGCGTGGGAGGATGGGATGGTAATTCGTTGATTGATCTTCCTGGTTAGTAAGAAAGTAGAAGTTTATTGCGCTAAGCTACTCTGAACCCATCGTTAACCTTGAATTCAAAGTTCACAAAATTCCCAATAGGTATCATCTTTATTGCATTAGCATCTTGATGCTCGCGCTGCGGCTCTAACAGCCGGAAGGTATTCGTTTCATCGTAATTTTTGCTCATATCCGGCCGCGTCTTAGACCCACCATGATTATAATCAACCGCCCGAATCTCTCTGTGCCACCTCAGTGTGGTGCAATAAAGCCCGAAACAACCTATCAAAATTCCCGCTGCTCTGACGACGACGGCCAAGCGCGTAGATCACCATCCGAGCTAGCGATGACGATGATGGGTCGACGTCGTGGAAAAGATTTGTCAAAATAGCGAAATGGTGCATGCTTACCACATACTAGCAGACATTAAGCTGTCAAAATTATAACTACAACATACCGGGTTTTACAGCCAGGTTGCTGATCAAATAATAACCTAAACAACAGAAACTCATAATGAGCACTTAACCTACCTGGTGGGGTCTGTTGAACGAGTAGTCGGTCGGACAACAACAGTCTGGCGTGTATTGTTTTTGGGAATCGTTTCTACTCGGGGAAACACGCAATCCGAGCACTGCGTTGAGATTTTCAGACCTACAATAATTGCCACTCATACATACGTTAATAAGTAGGTACGGATAGAAGCTGCAAAATGGGACAACCCAAGGCGCGGTAAATACCTTCATCTGTTGACACGCGGTTGGGGACCACCTTCTCCATAGCAAATTAGTCTTGGCAAATGGATTTCTGGTTTTCGGTCGTGTATAGGCTTTCGTGTGATGATAGAACCGTAAATCTTACAACTTGAATGAGATCCTTTTCGTGACGAAGGTATATTTTTCTGAGAATCGCAACTGGTGATTGGTAAATCGTCTCTTTGACACACAAACGGTGCTTTAAATTCAAAACTGTATTTAATGTTTCTGTTCATTGTGTTATAGTGCCATTCCGTTTTACGGTCCTATGGCAAAGACGTTCACTGTAGCATTTCAGCCAGAGCGGCTACCACCCATATCTAAGGGCAGCTTTCGTTTGCTTCAATAAATATGCAAATTTCAATTTAATTACCAATCGGGGACATATGTTTATTGAAACAGCAAAGCTTTCGTCCTGACTGAGGGTATTTCTGTTGAAGGCTTGAGGATGCTAGAATAGTTATGGATGAGCAATTTTAATCAAATTCTGTTGTTATATAATCGATTTACTGACAATCTATTTAACTCGATTTTCAAACCTACCTGTTTTCACCTTAGTTGACAAACAGCTTCACTGCTCACGTTTGGACTACAATCGAATCAATCGAGCCGCTGAAATCGATTGCTGTCAATGTCAAGACAGCCAACCAATCCGTTTTTCAGTTGTCATTTGGAGCTTGCAAGCTCAGGCAATATTTACAATGGAAATCGTGCGTAACGAATGACACAAATAAGAGCTCCAGCCTCTGTTCGATCACACCCGAAGCTGAAGCTCAATATACTTAGCTATCTATTCAAACAAGACCTTTAAGCGGAGACGTCAAGCACTCAATCGGAGTGGATTCGATTCAAGATATGAAGCATTACCATCATTATTGGGGTGAAGTAGAAAAACAAACCTCTTCACACGGTTGTTAACATTGGTGGATATCTTTTGGACGGCTGCGAGCTCGTTGATTGATATCGATCAGATTTAACAAACACGCCAATTAGCATTTCGAATTGGATGGTTTTTCAAACATTGATGATTTAGACTCATTAAACTGTGCTCCGCTGATTTAATAATTACGAGCAAGATATCAACGGTGAGCGTTCGGTGATAATGATGATAGATTTTAAATTTTCGATTAGATGGCATTTTATCTGAATTAAAAACAGCTTCCAAGTATGCGCGCAGTCATCATCAACGTGCAATGCTCAGGCTTCCTTTTATGAGTTAATCATACAGCTTGAAAGCGTACAAGCATAATGGATTCAGTTGCATGTGGTGCGTTTACAACAAATTTCTCAAATCGGGGTCATCGTCAATTTTGTATGAGTATATTTAGTGGCTAGGTGATTAAACATTTCAAGCCAATATTAGGTATTATGATAGGTATTGAATGTTAATGCTTTTGCTTGATAATAATCGGACACACATAGACCGCTGTAACTTTCAGCTGAATTTTCAGTGAAGATTGTTTAATCTACATGTAATGCTTAAATCTAGAGGTATGTCCAGAGACGAGATTTTTCTATGGTGAACTCACGACGATGAAGTTTGCGACGGATGAAACTCAAAGCGGTCACCTTCGCGGTTACTTTATTCGACCGACAACCACAACTCTAAGTATTTTTGGATTACGCGAAATTCGTATGCTTTAGGGGAACAAGCGATATCGTCTGCTTCATACAGAAGCTAAATTTCATCTAACTTTTGGAAAAAAAAATACAATTCGATTGGTGGGTTCACTGAATCAAGCTGAGAGTGAATAGAATCACAGTAGGCATTGGTTGTCAGGATAAGTTTATTTGTTTACATCATGGCTTCACCGGCGCAAGCACGTCGCGATTCGATCCTGCACGCTCGAAATGAAAATCCCGGTCTATCCGCTCTTGGCAGTTTTCGATCAAATTCCTGGACAGGAATTTTATACTCGGTTGACCGGAAGAGTGCCCCGGGAACCAGAAGTTTGAAAAAATATATGATTTTCTGGATGATTTTACACAACAATGTGGAAATGAGCGTAAAAGGTCATGAATTATTCAAAACGTATATCAAATAAACTATAATGCTTCACAATATCTCACAAGACTGAAGACGTCTAGATGTTTTATCATTGTTCCTGCCTTGGCAATTCAGTATTTTAAACAGGTTTTTTAAACCTGCATGTCAGTATAACAATTAAAAATTTTAAAACTAAAACTAAAACTATACTATACTATAAAGGGAATTAATCGTTGCAATTGAGGATTGCAACGATTTTTGCCTGAAATTATTAATTATTTTGTCGGACATTTGTTCTAAAGTCTCAACATTCGACATTCTATGGGTAAACTTCGATATAACATACATTTTGATTTCACGAATGTATGTTATATCGAATTGTATATTATATAGAAGCATGATTTTTAAATTAAGAAACACATTTCATTTTGCATTATTTTGATAAATTATAAGAAAATATAGCATATTTTGGTAATATTGTTCACCTGTGCAAAACAGCGTTTCTTAAAAAAAAATTCATATTTTTCTTGCACAAAAGGAAACCCCCCTTCGGATATAAGCTGCAGTACAGTCTCCTGTAGGAACAACAGCTTCATTTTTTTCAGTTCACAATACAATTATTACTAATAATGCGTGATTTAATTAATGCATCGGTAATTACCGTTGATAGCAACGCGAAATTGAGATATGAATGAAATATTATGTAAGCGGTGATTAGGGGTAAAGTGAAAAAAAAACAATAAAAATCAAAAGACGCTTCTTTAGCAATTGTTGGAGGAGTAAGGAGAAAAAAATTTAAACATAACTATGAATCATACAAGATGCACACATTTTTCTTAGATGTAAATATATTCTTAGATGGAATTTACCAGTGGAATAAGCGTTTTAAATAACAAATGGATGGTCCTATTCAAATTTATTGATTAAGGTTATTGATAATAATCTATGATTAGCATTCTATTTTCCTTCGAAAATATATATTAAGTAACATTCAACTTGTTAAGAATTCAATGGAATTTATCATATCGTGTAGTTTTTCGAGTTAAAAAAATCAGTTCAGGAAATTAAATAACCATTCATGTTTACATAACAACCAATGCATCAAATAAGATATTCACTCTTGAGATTTATCAAGTCTTTCTAGTTACTATGTTGTTCAAGATGTCTTGTCTCATTTTACGCAAAGAAAACTGGGTGTTAAGCGACCAACCTTGCTCTTCCGCATACCTAAGCAGAACGTCAGCTCCATTCAAAGCAGCTTCATCAGAAACGTTAACATTTTCATCTTCAGGATCAACCGATGTAGAAAGATGTTGGCTATCCTCGTGATCTTGGTTCGTTGTGTAAGAGAAGTCATCAACTGATGGGTTGAGTATTTTCTCAACGATTTCATCGTCCTTCAGGATCTCGAACTCTTCGTTTTCCTCGTCAATTGTTTCCAGCTGGTTAATATTATTCATTATGTTCCTCAGCCTTTCTTGCAATACGGACAATGGCAAGTCGTCCTCATCATCACCCGGTGTCTCCGTATACAATATTTTCCAGGACTTCTGAATGGCAGATTCCGGAACAGCTTCCCATGCTTGGGCAATCCAAAACATGGCATCTTTGATGTTGATGCGTTTGACGTTATCGTGAAAATCATCACCTCTTCCAAGAATCTCGTTTGTCATGATCTTCTTGTAACGAGCCTTCACCATCTGAATAACATGCTGATCCATCGGTTGGATTACAGCGGTGGTATTGGGTGGCAAAAATTTGCAAAATATGGCTCCGTCATCTGTTCGCAATTCCTCTGTACTATAATGAGCCGAACAGTTATCCAATACGAGAACAGCTTTCACAGGATGGCTTAGTCCTTTTAAAAAATCAGTAACTAGCGGGACGAATTGCTCAAAAAACCAATTTTTGAACAACTCCCTCGTCATCCATGCATTTTTGGATGCTCTGTAGTAGACAGGAAGATCCTTTAGGTTCTTCAGTGGTCGAGGATTTTTGTATTTTCCAATTAACATGAGTGGAAGCTTCAAAGAACCGTCTATATTTGAACAGGGCATAAAAGTTATGCGCTCCTTATTGACTTTTCTACCAGGAGCACTGGCAGAATTCCGGTCGACGTATGTTATCGATGAGATTGCTTTGAAATATAAGCCACTTTCATCAGCGTTGAAAATTTGATATGGTTACAAGTTACGACAACGCATTTCTTGCGAAAAATCTACAACATATTGGTCGATAACCGCAAGGTTTGCTGGACAGTTTTTCCCCAGTTATCTTAAGAAGGCGAATATCATGCCTTTTGATAAATTTGTCAACATACCCACGGCTACCATATTCACCTTCCCCAATCATCTGTGAATAGAACTTCTGAGCCTGTACTTGAAGCATTTCGTGGCTTACAGGAACGTTTAGCTGCCGTTTTTGCAGGAACCAAACGTATAACGCCTCGTCTACCGCTGGATATCGAGGCTTCTTGAAGCGCTTTCGGTTAGCTGTGAACCGATTGACACATGAGAAATTGTTTAGAGTTTGACATGAATGCACTTACCAATATTTCCTTGAACTTCCGCAATATTCGACATTATTTTCTGCTTCGCACGAATGATGCCACTAACTGTCGTTCGACTAATGCAATAATCATCCGAAGTATTGCGGATATTTTCGTTCAGTGTAGATCAATAACAGTGTTTGACAGATGCTTTCATACAAGGTGTATATAAAACTTAGTAGAGGTGGGAATATTGTACGCTGATCTGACTATGTTTTAAAATCAGTGTCAACTTCAACTGCTAATTTCTCGTGAGTAAAAGCTCATACACATGTTATTTAAATGAACAGATAATGTGTTTGATTTAAAAACTCAATTGAGGGACATCAAAATACGAACACTCTTGCTTTCCTATATGCTCCCACCTTTCCTATGTCACGATGAGAAATGTAATCAACATGAGAATGACATTCATAGGATGGATGTACCGTATGCTCGGTAATGGCGGTCTTCGTGTGTATGAAAAGCGTTCTTTACATTGTTTGACAGCTGCTGGTTAAAAAGCTTTTCTCCCCTCTTCGCCTCTCAGTAGAACATATGGAAAAGGACCACATTTCACCAGCGTGTTACATCCAGCAGCTGTCAAAAACCAATAAAGAACCGAGTGTGGAAAGCTAAATGCCTCATTCCATCCCCTATAAACCAGTGTTTGAAGACGTCAATATCAATTCAATTCCATCAAAATGCTGAATTTTATGAGTCTCTTGAAGTGAAAATCAGTTTGCCAGTGTCAAACTAAATATCGCTGACATGAATATCACAGCGGCTCTGCTCATAGTTTTGATTATGGGTGTGCATTAATTTTAAATTAGTTGGAGCTGGAAAACCCCAAAAATGTCTTACACAATTAGTGCACAGCCCCTGCAGACTTTCAATACCTGCACCTGGGATGCTTGAGGATTGTTGAATTGAGGATTGCAACGATTTTTGCCTGAAATTATTCATTATTTTGTTGGACATTTGTTCTAAAGTCTCAACATTCGAAATTCTATGTACCTCGGCAGTACTGTACCAGGGAGGCAACTTCAAAATCATTCTCAGAACTTTGTTCTGAAGCCTTTGAAGTGCTTTTTTCCTGGTAGTGCAACAACAAGACCATATTGGCACAGCGTAAAGCATGGCCGGTCTAAAAACTTGTTTAAATATTAGAAGTTTATTCGACAGGCAAAGTTTGGATTTCCTGTTTATAAGAGGATACAAACATTTAATATATTTGTTACATTTAGCTTGAATGCCCTCAATGTGATCTTTAAAAGTTAATTTTTGGTCAAGTATTAATCCAAGATATTTCACTTGGTTTGACCAGGAAATTGGAACTCCGTCACATAGTGACTATGTGACTACTACTAGGTTTCAAAAACGAAGCTCTACCCAACTAACAATTTTCACAAGGTAAACGCTTTACTCATTTCATTTATACAGCCTCAAGCTGTATTCAAACGTTATACGATATTAGGAAACCTTTACTCAACCTCTATACAAGTAAATCTGGCGAACTTAGTCAGCTACTTATGGCTGTTGGAACGGTCGGGAGAAGCTCTTATTGCATATCCATTAACGCTTCTATACAGCTGTTATCCTGCTGTTTAGTTGTGTGTGAACTTGAAAGGTGCTTATTCAACCTTTTCCCGGTTATCCAATAATCACTACACAGCTTTCTCTTGAAGCCGGGTTAAATACTGTTTATGCTTTTTTATGAAGGAATTTATTGAGTTTATTTTGCTGTGACTAAAATTAATCGAAATTAGTTACAAATCATCACCAAATTATTTACCCTGCACCGGAACCTGGAATCGAACTCGAGACGACCTCATTGGCAAACCTTGACACTACCAACTGTGCTACGCCAACACTTTGAACTTATGTAAACAAATCAACATTCCCTTCTTCAACAAAATTGCTGAGTAGAGGCTTTATAATAGTGCACACGAATCACTTTTCTCGACTAGTTATAAAAGAGCAGAGTAAAAGCTGTAAAACTGCACACGTCTAAAAATAAACCTAGTTGACTGTGAAAATGCTTCGGAAGTTGCTCTAACACAGTTTATAAGCTGCGTACAGGTTGTTTAGTTGTTGAAAAAGCACTTTTGATGTTTATGTTATTCAGCAAGAGTGGTTGGTTGTTTAGAAGCCATCAAATGAGTAATATATTCACTTTGTTAGCTTTGTTTTGCAGCTACAAGTTGAAAGTTGATTAGTGTGTGTATAGAAGTGACATTAGCGTTTATTGGCTGATGTTATTCAGTGCGACTGACAAATTGAATAATGGTTGTGAGAAAGTTGAGTAAACGCTCTCCAAAACTATTTTGCTAGCTTTTGCTTGTAGCTCTGCAGCTTCTTTTCAGCTACTTTACAGCACAACGCTGGAAAAGTTGGCTTACAAAGCTGAAAATGTTAGTTGGGTAGGCTTATGTGGAAATATTATAAGTTGAGTTTTGGAAGCGTTGGGAGAAATCTTCCATTTTTTATAAATAAGAATAGAAAATATCTAAACTTTTCTGCAGCCTGCTGCTAATACCACGAAAATTTCTTCCTTTAGCGGAAATGCCTGTGTCATCAGCGAACAAAGATTTGTGGTAACCCTGAGGCAAATCAGGGAGGTCCGAAGTGAAAATTTTATACAATATAGGCCCAAGAATGCTACCCTGAGGAACTCCTGCTCTAACAGGTAGTCGATAAGATTTGGAATTTTCATAATTTACCTGCAGAGTTCTGTCAGTTAAATAATTTTGAACTAATTTCATAATATAAAGTGGAAAATTAAACTTTTTCAATTTAGCAATCAAACCTTCATGCCAAACACTGTCGAATGCTTTTTCTATATCTAGAAGAGCAACTCCAGTTGAGTGGCCTTCAAATTTGTTTGAACGAATTAAATTGGTAACTCTTAAGAGTTGATAAGTAGTTGAATGCCCATGGCGAAATCCAAACTGCTCATCTGCAAAAACTGAGTTCGTATTGATGTGAAGCATCATTCTATTTAAAATTATCTTTTCAAAAAGTTTACTTATTGAAGAAAGCAAACTTATTAAACGGTAGCTAGAAGCTTCAGCTGGATTTTTATCCGGCTTCAAAATTGGAACAACTTTTGCATTTTTCCATTTATCAGGAAAGTATGCCAAATGGAAACATCTGTTGTTTTTTTTATAAGGATATAGAAAATTCCATTATCACCTGGAGCTTTCATATTATGAAAAATTTTAGTTATAGACCTTACTTCGTCCAAATCAGTCCCTCAGGAATCATCAAAAAAGAAAATATTCAGAAAATCCCGAGCAACCTGATTCTCAATAGGACTAGTAAGACCCAATCTGAAATTATGGGAACTCTCGAATTGCTTAGTAAGTTTCTGAGCTTTTTCCAAATTTGTGATCAAAACTTTACCACCTTCTTTAAGCGCTGGAAAAGGCTTTTGCGGTGTTTTCAAAAGTTTTGTGGGTTTGGAACTCGGGTCTAATTTAGAAACATTATTTTCAAAAGTTTTGTTCCTCAGGGCAGAGAATCGTTTTTTAATTTGTTTTTGTAAATCCCGCCAGATAACTTTCATGGCAGGATCGCGTGTTCTTTGATATTGTCTCCTACGGACATTTTTGAGACGGATCAAGAGCTGAAGATCGTCGACGATTATAATTGAATCGAATTTAACCTCGCATTTTGGTACTGAGGCAGCTCTTGCTTTAACTATAGAAGTAGTCAGAGATTCAAGAGCATAATTAATTTCATCTTTGGTTTGCAAAGGAATGTTTGGATCGAAGTTATATTCCATAAATGTTCGATACTGCTCCCAATCAGCCCTATGGTAATTGAAAGTAGAGCTGTTGGGATTACAAATTATTTTTTGGGATATTTCAGAACTTACGGGAAGGTGATCAGAATCGAAGTCAGCATGGGTAACCAATTGGCTACAAAGTTGACATGAATCAGTTAAGACCAAAACAATAGTTGAGGGATTTCTTGCAGAAGAAAAGTATGTTGGGCTGTTTGGATATTGAATAGTGTTATAACCTGCAGAACAATCATCAAACAGAATATTACCATTGGAATTGCTTTGAGCATTATTCCATGAGCGGTGTTTTGCATTAAAATCACCAATAATAAAGAATTTAGACCTATGACGGGTAAGTTTCTGAAGGTCAGCCTTGAGAAAATTCTTTTGCTGGCCTACGCATAGGAATGGCAAATAAGCAGCTATAAACGTAAGTTTTCCAAATTTTGTTTCAACAGAAACTCCCAAAGTTTCAAAAACTTTGGTTTCAAATGAAGAAAGAATTTTATGTTTGATTCGTCTATGAACAATGATGGCAACGCCACCACAGGGTACATCAAGACGATCATTTCTATAAATCAAATAATTTGCGTCCTTCTTAACCTTATGGTCAAGTTTAAGGAACGTTTCAGTTATAACGGCAATATGCACGTTATGAACTCTCAAAAAGTTAAATAGCTCGTCTTCATTATGAAGTAATGAAATTGGGTTGTTAGCGGAATGCTAAATAAAACAGCAAAAAAGGTTATCTTCCATTTAATTCCACTTAATTAATGTTGGTATCCATGACAGATACGTATTTCGACTACAATGTGCAGTCTTCATCAGTGTCATTCCCACATGTGGGAATGACACTGATGAAGACTGCACATTGTAGTCGAAATACGTATCTGTCATGGATACCAACATTAATTAAGTGGAATTAAATGGAAGATAACCTTTTTTGCTGTTTTATCGTCTTCATTATCTTTAAGAGATCGAGCATTCCAATTTAAAATATTTAATGCTTTAAAATCCATTGCTGAATTTTAAAGTCATTACAATATTATTTGCAAATTTTACCCCAGTTTGAATAGCATCAAACATGGAGTTAGATTTAAGCATATCAGAAATCATGTCAATTAATGATTTCTGTAAAAAATCCATTTTAGGGGCAGTAATACTTCCTAAGTCAAAATTGTTAAAATTTCCGTTGGAATTACGTTTGTTAGTATTTTGATTTCTACCCGCTGCAATAGCAGCATAGGTAGCTCAATTAACTCCCTGAACATTGTTAGCAGCGAGGGGACTAGGTATAGATGACAAATTTGAAGCAGGGGTGATATTTGTACCTACGGGTACGAATGTAGAATTTGTTCCTCGCTGACCGTTGTTAACAGCAGAGTAATTTGTACCTAGTCGGAAACGTGGAGCGTTTCCTACCTGTCGCTTAGAACGAGACTGTAGGATCGCTTTGCGAGTCTTACATTACCAAAAAATGGATTTGTGGTTTTCACCACAATATGAACATTTAAATTTCTTAGGATCTTCCTTCACAGGACAGTCGTCCTTTGCGTTAGAGGAATCACCACAATTCATGCATTTAGCTGGCATGTAGCAATTTTTAGTTCCGTGACCCCATCCCTGGCACTTAGGGCACTGAGTGAGGTTTTGGAAATTTCCTCCAGTCTTCCTGAAGTGTTCCCACTTCACTCGGACATGGAGCATAAGGCTAGCTTTTTCTAAGGCCTTAAGGTTGTTTAGTTCACTAGACTTGAAGTGAACTAAATAAAAAGCATTAGAAATCCCGTTGCGCGAATCGCCAGGACGGGATTTCATTTTTATTTTTATTACTTGGAGTGGCACAACTCCAAGTAATTTTGCCAGTTCATCTTTGATCTGATCCAGGGATTCACCACTGGGCAGTCCTTTCATGACAACCTTGAACACACGTTCAGTTTTGGTGTCGTAAGTACAAAATTTGTGCTCATTCTCAGTAAGATACTTGAGAAGACATTTAAATTCATCCAAGGTTTCAGCCAATACACGGCATTCACCCCGACGTCCAATTTGTAGTGAAAACTTAGCTTTCACGAAATTCAAAAGTTCCATGCAAAGAGCATGGAAATCGGAAGTGGTTATTACAATAGGGGGAATCTTTTCCTTCTTGGCATTAAGCCGGGAAAGTTTACTAGAATTTTTCATGGATGATGGATCATTCTCATCATCCATGAGCAAATCAAATTGATTACTCAAATTAATTTCATCAGAAGGGGGGTCAAGAGTTTGCCCCTTTCTTTTGCATTTAGGCGCCATGGCGACAGTAAATTTTTATCCAAATCGACTTCCAAGCAGATTACTATAAGAATCTGAAGGATCGAAGAGGAATTATCCAAATCGATATCTAAGAAAGATTACCTCGGGTAGGGTCCAAACAAGGATCGAAGAGGAATAAAAGTTGAACAAGGTAGAAATTTTACAAGTTGAGCACTGCAAAGTGCTGTTTAAATTTGTTGTAGCTTTAGGTAGTAGTAACACTTCATTTAGCAAAAAGCAAATGGATCCGCACGGCAAGAGAGCACGATGCGGACTGAAAAACGTTAACTTAATTGAATGCATTCCTAGAGCGTTATTTATGTCTTCCTGCTAGATTTCATTCCTTGTCCACTGTATGGTATTCTTTCAAATCTCTCGTGGATAGACTCGAATTGACGTTTATGGGTGCTCTGGGCCAAAAATAGGTGGAGGTCCATCGTATGAAACGATTATTTTTATTAATCTTCAAACTAAATTTATGATTGCTTTGATAATACGGAACGACCTTGTTAGTTAACATTGCCCACTGGTCTCCTAAAAATCGATGGAACTGACATCCTGTGCCGAACTCAAGATTTGGTGATAAACTCTAATTTTGGCGTCCCCTCGCTTTGCAATGGCTTTATCACAAAGCAAGTGTAAAAGATAATGAGAAATCGTAACAAATGATATTTTCATCTTGGTCTCCCCTGTTCAAAATTGGAGGTGACAATTTTTCGTATATTTGGGAGTAACAAATTTTCATATGATATTTTCATCTTGTCCCTCCTAAATTGTCACCTCCAATTATGATATTTATATATGAACTATCAATTTAGCATGTATATAGAAGTTTTTTTTGTTTATGCAATCAGTTATTATTTTTATTTTTCATACGATCTATTGCACGATTTTTCGCTTACCTTTGTTTCAATTAAGCATAAATCCGGATGAACATTTTGTTAAAAACTCATTCAAATTTATTTGTTTTAAATTCTACTATTATACAACATCTCGCACAAAAATGGCTGTGCGAAAAGAGGGAGAATGATAATCATTGAAGTGGTCATCTTCCAGTGTAAGATTGACCAGAAGTAATCAGGCGTCCGTGTAGACCGGTATCGTAAAGTGCAGTGCCATTTAGTGTATCCCCCTTGTGGGGTTTCTGGGATGTTGGACTGCCTCCGTCCAGGACCTCGTACCGTAAATAAAACGGTCCCACACGGCTCGGATCGGAAGTCAAGATGGCTTCCGAGTTAATAGTAAATGATACTCGATCGTCCTTCAGGGAGGATTCCCTCAGGCCGGTGGCCTTAATTGCCAAGGAGGGTCCCGCCTTGACTCGACCAAGGTGGCCTTGCCACGGTCAGTCGATGTCGTCAAGGACGGAAGACGCCTGCCAGCCAAACGAGCCAGCGACGCCTGCTGAGCCGTATGTGGCTGATGAACGCCACCAGATCCGCCATTCTCCCAAAGATGGAACAACACTGTCTGCAGCCCGCGCCGCAAGTTTCCGGACAAACGGTAGTGCAGGATCAGCCGTGTGGTTCAACGCCAGAGTCGCGACGCCGTAGGAGATCCCGCTGCAGCAGTGAGTACAGTACTAAATTTTCTAAACCCTCGTATACACGCCAAATATTTGTGAAAACCCACACCCACACGCCACAGAATAGGGCAATAAATGTCATAGAAAATGTGAATATTCATGTTTTCTTACTTTGCTCGCGTAGCCCCTCCGAATACCCAGTAACATGCCGGCCCTACGACACAGTTCAGGGGTCTCATGCTACTGAGTTAGTAACCCGGGAGTGTCTGGTCACTTGAGTCACAGACCACGCACATAAATCGCAATCCCGGTCATGTTAAAAGTGATCCTAACTTTGTTCGATACAGATAGGTTCTATTTTCTTTCTAGCAAAGATAACTATTTTGATTGCTTCGTTTAACTATTTACATCATTCTTTACTCTCTCATAAAATTAACAGCATGGGAACGGTCTTCTCACCAACCACTCTTATGGGTATGCTTGATGAATACACTCACTGCCACAGGCCTCTCAATGTACACTGGTTTTTTAACATACACTGGAACTTTCTTCTCAACATGAACTGCGTAGGGTTTTGGCACTTCGATGTATTGCTTCTTGATAACTGGCACTTTCACCTCAACTGGATATGGGACTGGTCGGTCAACGTGCACCGGGACCTTCTTCTCAACATAAACTGGCACTTTCTTCTCCACAAAGACTGGAACTTCCTTCTCAACTTCAACTGGGTATGGGACATTCACTTCTACTGGAACGTGCTTCGCAACCTCGACTGGGTAAGGAACCGGAACATTCTTGGTGACCGTGGTGACGTGGTGCTTATCTTCTTCCTGATCGTCACTGAAGTCGTACGATTCCTGATCTTCATATCCTTCATCGAAAAGACCACGTTTGTCTTTCTTTGAGGTATTATCGACTGTGGCACATGATGCAATAGTCAATGCCATGACGGATAATATTACGAACGCCTAAAACGAAAACAAATCGAAACACATTTATCCCACTTGTAAGCTGCAACATCGGTCAGCTATATTTACCTTCATTTTTTTTCTTGTAATGCTTTAATTGAACGGACTGTGTGCTCCCGTGGCTTTTGGACTGAAGCCAACTGTTGAGATGATGGTCGACGAATGATGCCTTGTCGTTCGACAGGTGTGATTTTTATATTGTTGAACCAAAAAGCTTTAGCGAGTTGAGACGAACCTTATTGGTTTCATAAGTCTGCAATTATGATTGCCAAAAGCAGTGGTATCCGATTGTGTTGTACACTATCGGTCATGCTGGCTGGCTCAGGTGGGCGAAATATGAAAACTTGGATGCCGGTGATAATGTTGAAAGGCCAAACAGATTTGTTCGTAGTAATCGTTTGAAATGTGGCAGTTTCGGTGATAGTGATGCAGTTATTTTTCCATAAAGGATAGATAAAACTTTTATATTTTTGTATGAATTCCGGTTTAAGCTTGAATGAAGTGATTTTTCATGTTAAATTTGTAGTACCGTTTCGTCCAACTTTCATCGTTTATAAACTAATTTGGTAAGATTGTTCCAATTAATTAATTTGAGTAATATTTCACATTTCACTATGGTAAGTGACTCGGTTTTGACCATAACAGCAATATTAAGAGCAAAAGGGAATTTTAACTAGCAACTTTTTTTTTTTATTATTATAGTCACTTTAACACTCTTGGGTCATTCGTGACTTTGTCCGGGGGTGAGATTTGAACTCGTGACTTTGGCGTGAGAGGTAAGGATGTTAACCACTACGCCGGGGTCGCCCCCAACTAGCAACTTAATTCCTTAGATCATATGGAGGACTCTCAACCCACCAGGCCTGGGTTCAATCCCAGTCGGCGCCGCCGGGATGTTCTGAGCAGGGTTCTGCATTTTCGAAACAAAGAAAAGAAATGAACTCTCAGCAGATTCGCTTCATTTCTAGCAATATAATTTTCGTTTAAGTCATCGTGTTTCTTGCTATCGAGTCACGATGAACATTCCTCTTTTCAAACATGACTGGACTATCTATCACTTGTTTCGTTCGTCAAGTGCTTCAGTTCATTTCATTTAAAGCAAATACTTGTTTCAATTGACGCAATGAATGACTCGAAAACTGCTTCCTTCTTTTTTTCCACTTTCACTTCAATTCGGGGCTCATTCGACTTGTCACGACCTGACGACGCAGGCATCAAAATATAGTATCCGGATTATATGTAGTAATAATATATTATTTTATATTAAACGAATTTTAAATTGACGAGGCCATTCTGGAGTCCAAGATGGCAGCCCTCGGGGTCAGGAAAAGTCTCAAATACCCTACAATACGGGTATTTTCGGAACGAGGACGACGCAAGGTGCCGAAAATCGATATTCGACGTTATTTTGGAATCCAATATGGCGGCCATCAGGATTCAAAAAGTATCAACTATCCTATAATATGGGTATTTTCAGAACGGGGATGCCGACAATCCATTTTTTTTTTATAATTCGTTTATTTTTTCAGGCTCATTTTCTGTAGCTTTGCGGAGCCGATATTCATTGTTTATTTAACAAAATTACTTAAAACTAACGTTAGTAAAGCGGGGGCCGATTACTCGCGGCTATCTCGAGGTTAGGGGTAACAAATTGTAGCAATTGAATGGCAGGGTAGGGATTGTGAACACAAGGTTTGGAGAGCAATGTGCTCTTGATCTCCAACTAGGCGACACTCTGATGAAAAAGACAAACATGAGGGTACACCGATGGGCAGCTAAAAACTTGGGAGAACACAAGATGACACTTACTACTACGTTTTAAAAACACATAAATTAAATTCAAATAGTCGAGGTCTCGGCTCGCCAAGACATCTCTAACGGGTATCGCGGGTTGTTTTCCTCGGCCCTGAGGGATGTGGATAACTCAGATCTGGTAACACGGTGTAAGGTACATGACCAAACAACATGCTCGATATCGTGATAACCACTGTCACACGCACATAAATTGCTGCCTGAGAGCCCAATCCGATAGAAGTGCGAGTCTAACGAGCAGTGATTGGACATAAGCCTTGATATAACGGGTATAAAGTCGCGGCTCATGTCCAACCCTTTGAACCACGGTTTGTTCGACACCTGTGGGAGAATAGAATGTAACCATCTTCCCAATTCACCATCATTTCATTTGTATTGCCAACTGATGAGGACTTGCTGACGAGCAATGGAGAAAACATCGCTGAAGGTGATTTGTCGCTCAAAAATATCGCCTTCCATAGCGCCCACCTTAGCCAATAAGTTCGCTCTCTCATTACCCGGAATTGAGCAATGTGATGGGACCCAAGCTAAGGTGATAGTATAGGAGCAGTTAGATAAAGCACTCAGTTTAGATCGTATTTCAGGCAGGAAATACGAGGAGTGCTTCATCGGTCTCATTGAACGAATAGCCTCCAATGAGCTAAGACTATCCGTAAAAATGAAATAATGGTCAGAAGGTAGTGAGGCAATTCGCTCTACTGCGTAAAATATAGCTGCAACGTATACGAAACATGGTTTCTGCAGTTTATAGGAGGCGCTATGAAATTGATTAAATACACCAAATCTAGTGGAAGCATTTATGGTTGACCCATCTGTGAAAAATCTTTTATCGTTACTTACATGGAGGTACTTGGTTGCAAAAATTGAGGGAACAACCATCGACCGATAGTGATCTGGTATTCCATGGATTTCTTGCATCATGCTCAGATCAAAATTTACAGAGGAACTATAGAAGGCTTGAAAGCAATCACGATTGGGATTAATGAAGAAGGACCAACCTCCAGCGTCATGTACTCATACACAGCTAAAAAAAAGTAGTGTAAATTTCCGTTACTATGATGCACATAAATGGAGCGTCATATATCATACAAGTTTAGATTATAGATCGTGTAAATTTATGAGACGTGTCATGTAATATTCCATATATTGTATGCAACTGTCCACTTTTGATTGCAACATTTCTTGCAAGCTGCTAGTTCACGTGAAAAGGAAGTTTACATGTTTGAATGTTTGCATGCATGGATGTTTACATCGCCAGTAACATTCAGAGTTCAAACTCATGAATCTTGTTTGAGGATTTCGGTCGAGCAGCTTCTCAAAGTGTTCTATTACCAAAGGATTCAATACTTCACAACGGATGACAAACCGGAAAGACAGCTCAGCGAAACGATCTGTCAGTGGGAGAACACCCGCGAGTACTTCGAGGCTCATCGTATCAGTCGAGTGCATACAGCCTATTTTTTTTTTAGTTCTTTATTAAGGAGATTTTTAGCCTATGGCTAGTTCATCTCCGAAGAAAGGAGAGGTCTCAGAGTGAGTAACCTCTAGATACATGGTATATTAACATTTAGTTAATAACTTTGGTTGCTGGCTCTTCAACTTATATGAAAAAATAACAATATATAAAATAATGAAACAGAAGAACAACAGAAAACAAAATGATTTAAGACAAGCTACAAACGATTAATCCAAACAAAACAGAGCTCAGCTGGCATGGGTCCAATAGGGGAAATCCATCCAGCTGAGATGTCCCGACGGCCGAAAGAAATTCCTGCTATACCGAGTGGTAGATTTTGGCTTCTTTTAAGAAGGTTACTAGTGCTGCCGAGGCCGAAGTATCATTCCCGAGCAGATCGCTGATGCTGGAAGTTAGGCAGAGTGACTCCCGAAGATTTTGGAATTCCGGGCAGTTGCACAGGATGTGTTCGACGGTGTAGGGTACCCCACAGATGATGCAGCTTCTGCGGAACGGCAGGCCACCATAGTTATAGTAGAGTTTAGTGTGCCCGGTTCGAAGCCGCGAAATCACGCGTTGATCCCTCAGGTTGTCCAGTTCTCTCCATGGTTCAGTGCGTGCTGGAGTTCCTCCCAGGAGAAAGGCTCGTTGATCTCGAGGTTGTCCGTGTCAGGCGGGATGCTGAACTCAGCGACTGATGTACGGGTAGGCTTTGCCAACCGCTGAAAGTGGCTATCGTACCCGGAGATGGCCGAAATTTCGGCGAAATACCCTCCGAGTTCTTCGGCGACGGCTGCCGGTTCGGAGATGGTAACTCCGTTAGCTTGTACATGTAATGGCGTCGAGTGCCGTTTACCGCTGAGAGCATTAACCCTGCTCCAGAGATCGGCAGAGGACTGGGAGGCGTTGATGTTTTCAAGGAAACCAGACCAACTGTTTAGCTTCGCACTTCTCACTTCTTTTCTGCATTGAATATGCAGTGCACGGTACCGGGTTAGTAGCTCTTCCCTGTTTGGGTCATCTCTCGGGGTTCGCCTGAGTTTCCGTAGAGCTTTCCGGTGGGCTTTAACGGCTTTTTGGTGTTTTCGCTCCACCAACGGAGGGCTTTTCGTCCAGGTAGGCTACTGGTCTTTGGTATGGTAGCGGATGCAGCATCTAACACCAACTTAGAAAAATCCGGGATGGTTAGCGGATTGCGTTCGAGGATCAGCGATAGAATTGTCCCCTGATACCCATCCCAGTCAGCCTCGTCGTACCGCCAGCGAGGCCTTTTCGTGACTTCTGGGGCCGTGGCTGACGAAAGCTGCATGTACCGCCAGCGAGGCCTTTTCGTGACTTCTGGGGCCGTGGCTGACGAAAGCTGCATTTGGATGGGGTAATGATCACTTCCGTACAAATCCGCATTGGTGCATCACGTGACTTTTCCTGCTATGGAACGGCTGATCGAAGAGACGTCGATAGCCGTGGCGTGACGTCCGTTGAAGAATGTTGGGTTTCCATGGTTGAGCACCGCCATGTCTTCCTGATCGAGTAGGTCCATTAAGATGCTTCCTCTAGGATCCGGACGAGGACAGCCCCAAGTTGGATGATGCCCATTGAGATCTCCGACAAACATCCTTGGTTCGGGTAGCTTGCTGAAAACGCCGGTGATTTTATTTGACAGATTTTGTAGCAATGTTCTCTCACATGTCAGGTATGCACAGGCAATCGCAATGTTTGCCGGCTTCTCCAATTGAACAGCAACTATGGGAAGATCAGTTCCCAGGTCAATCTCGTTAAAAGGTATGCTCCTTAGAACACCAATGGC